CAAGTACTCATATATCTCCTCCTTTGGCTTCCATTTAAAAAAACGATTTTAAGCTAATTTAGTCCCATTTGAATTTTTCAAAATCCAAATCTTTAATAGGCAATTTTGAGAAAAATTATACAAAATATTAGCCAACATTTTGATGAAATGGCCATTATTTTAATCAAAAAGCTTTTTTAAGGAATAAATCATTAGTATGTAATTAATCATAGAGGCAGACCTCTATAGGAACTTGTCCCTATAATAAAATAAATTATATTCAATCAAACATATTTGCTAAACGAAAATTTTTGATAAAATTATAAAAAAAATGAGTTTTGTTATTGAATCAATAGTAAAATAATATTTTCATCTCCGGGATAGTATCTTTTCTTATGTCACACTTGATAAAATAAATACTACAACTAAACATATGAATTTGCATTGATCATAACCACATAGTGGGATAAAGGCTCGATATTGTTGTTGTTGTTGTACTCGATAACAAAATATTTTAATTCGTTAAGGACGATAAAACTTCACCGCCAACGTACCCTTGACCTTAGGTTCCTTTGCAACTAAGAGATGCAAACAAAACCCAACAATAGAGCTGTAAAACAACCATTCAATATATCAGTTGAATGAAAAAATTACCTAAAATATTTGTGATTAGTTTGAAGATTTGAAAAGGAAAGAAAAAAATTAAGTCGTTTATAAGGCACAAAAAAATGAAAAACTTACACTAGCATTATTTATTACATCCTCTTATTATGAGTCTCAAAGATGCCCATCTTTAGTTATTGGATAATTTATTTAAGAGCTAAATATCATACAAACAACTCCTCTCAAAACAAAAAATAACCATGCTCGATGGATCATTGACCACTATGGACAATCAATGAGATACATTTACAAATAAATCTCTCACTCCAAAATGTCCTCTATACACCTAAACTATTTACCAATCTATGATTCATTCAAAAACTATCTAAGTATTTTAATAGTGTTGTATTTTATCCTCAAGACTATGCCTTCCAGGAATAGGACATGAAGACAATTGAGCTTGCTAAAGAAAGAGATGATCTCTGCCATTTTGAGGAATCAAATGATCAAGAAAACTCCAAACAAGTTTAAATATTATATTTTATCTTAAAAAAATAAAGAAAGAATATGGCTTCAAGATCTACACCTTGGCCACCTATCATTTATTGTTCTCAAAATCATGTTTTTTTCATTATTTATAGAAACCAAAATGAGTTTACTAAAAAAACAAAAATGAAGCATCACCGTTTCCACTTTTTTCAATATGATCAAAAATGATTTTGGTGTTCAAATTGACAAAATCAAATCCAATAATGCCGAATACTATATTAACCATTATATCCTCATATTTACAAGAAAAAGAACAAAACATGAATCCTCTTATACATATTCACCCCAACAAATGGCGTGGTTGAACGAAACAGCCACCTACTTGCTGTCATATGGACGCTCCTTTTTTAGAAAAATATTTCAAAACAATATTAGAGGAAAGCAATTTTTAACAATCTTAAATCGATTACCTATAAAATTCCTTGAGTTTAAGAGTTTTACACATGTTCTAAATAAACTATTTCTCCATTTCAATACCTCAAACAACTTTGTTCGTAAAGTATTTTGAAGTGTTATCTTTACTCATAAAAATTCCTCAAAACAAAGAGAAACTTGATCCTCGAGCAGCTAGATGCGCATTCATTGGCTATTCTCCTACACAAAAAGATACAAATGCAACCATAATCCTACGAGAAAGGTGCATGTGCCAGCCAACGGCACTTTTAGTACAAAAATCACTATTTTATTACTACTTATCTAAAAGAAAAAAATACCTTTTATAAATGAATCTTAAGGAAGAATATATTGTTTACAAATGAGTTTTTATATCCTCATTGTCCCTCCTTACCCATCTTCCCAACAAACAACTCAATTCCAAAAATAACCACTCATACCCAAACCAAGATGCTATAACCACTTTCTACTCAGCTATTATAGGTTTACTAAAGAAGAAAAGCATCTCAAATTGTGCAATTCTAATCGACTGAATCAATCTCTACCACTGAATGAGCTAACCAAACACTGAACCTACAAATAAAAGTATAAAAACTTCCACTAGGCATCTCTTAGACTTATCTTTATAACACAAAACATTTTCTCAAAATCACCAATCATTTCATACTAGCATCCCAAATATCCAAGTTGGAACTCTTGGCCACCCACAACCAAGAGACAACAATGACAAAGAACAGAGTTGACAGGTATCAACTACCAGTAAGGAGCTACCTCTTCCTTTAGCAGTGAGCAGTGGACTGGCCCAAAAAAGTGCCCAATAAGGAACCAGTCTCTTTTTCAGTATAGTAAACTATGATATAATAGAATGGTCGGTTGACATTTTTATCTAGCAGGGTTCATCAGCTTTCGTGGCCAGGTGACCAAGGAGGGACTATTCATCGGTGTCATTTTGGGGTAGGTTTTCTCCCTTTCTTGCCTCCAATCATTGAATGATTTTCATAACAGAAATAAGGCTCGGTCAAGTTGCTTGTGGGGATTGCCTTCTTGTTTTGAAAAGGAACTTGCTTATTATTTTTATTCCTAAAATAGCTTTGAGGCTTAAGTAATGTGAATTAGAATAATGCTACAAGCAAAGAAATGAAAACCCTTCAAAAAAATTAAAACAATGGAATTGGTAAAGTTATCAAATGAAAAGAAATCAATTGAATATAGATGGGTCTCCAATATAAAACAGATATGATGTTTCACTAGAAAGATATAAAGCCATATTAATGGCCAAATGTTGCATTCAAACATATTGGAATGATTATCTTGAAACATTTGCTACATTTGCCAAAATGAACATTATTATACTTCATTTATCTTTAGTAGATAAAAAGAGCTAGAAGATATAACAATTTAATGTGAAGAATGCCCTAGTTACATGGTGCCTTGAAAAAAAAGTATATAGGAGGTTTCATCAAGATTTGGCTCAAATAAAAAATAGAAAGCATTATATAATTTGAAGCATTTCTAATGGTGTGGTTCCAAATATTCGCCAAGGTAATGATCAACAAGGGATGCAAATAAATTTAAGAAGACAATACATTATTTATGAAATACAAAACTTTAGGGGGAGTTTTTGCACTACCAAGTCAATGACATTATTATAATAGGTGGTAATATAGAAGGAATAGAAAATTTAAAGAAAAAATTTCTCTAACAACTTGAAGTCAAAGAATCAGGCAAGCTAAAGTATTTCATTGGCATTGAAGTTACATAATCTTGACATAAAATCTTCATATCATAACAAAAATACAGTATTGAAAGAAAATGGTTAGTTAAGATGTAAACTTATTAAGAGACCCATGGAATTTAATCATAAACTTGGAAATACTCCAAAAGACTTATCTACTCCATAACATACAAGACCTAACATTGCTTACACTATTGGGGTGGTGAGTTAATTTATGTGAAATCCTAAAGAATCACACCTTATGGTAATAAACAAATTTAGAAGATAAGAATGGAACCCCATGCAAAAGAATTTCTATCAAAAATAAGGTGGATTGGACCCTTGAAGCATAAATAGATGTATTTTATGTGGTATCAATGGTTAATAGGTCAAGTTCAGTATATTGCACATTCTTAAGAGGCAACCTCGTGACTTGGAAAATAAAAAAATAAAATGTAGAAGCAAGATCTAACATAGAAACTAAATTTAGATTTATGACATCAAAAATTTATGAATTGCTAAGGCTAAAAATTATCTTGAAAGATTTAAAGATTGAATGGAAAAGTCATATGAGGCTCTCTTATGCTAACTAGTCAGTCATCAACATTACATATAATCCTATGCAACATGACCATACAAAGCATAATAAATTTGATAGACGCTTTCTAAAGAAGAAGCTTGATAGTGGTTTAACATGTACTTCATTCGAAACCACAAGTGAAGAGGTAAGCTTGCTGACATTCTTACCACAAAATTGTAACGAACAATTTTTCAGAAATAATCAGGCAAGCTTAGAATAGATAACATTCATTTATTTGCTCGGGGAAAACAAGCAATGCATCTCCAACTATGACCCACACTCATTGTAACTTTCACCCTTTTTCATTTCTCTTCAACTACCACCTCATTTATCTGTGGGAATGTAAATTCACACAAATGCATACATGTACAAGTGAAAAGAAACACGCAAAAGGACACACTGAACTGTCAATGTAAGTCATCATAATTGGGGTAATTTCATCACATTTAACAAATAAAATCCATACCATGATCATGTCAAGGTCATTCCATGGTCAAATGCAAACATGCCTATTTAATAATATAAACAATCTATCAGGTTCTTGAAATGATGTTTCCCTGATCCTGGAGTACGAAATATAAGCACAATAGAAAATGTCACGATCAGTTTACCACATCTTTTCAATGTTTTGAGTTATGGCCGGAAAAGTTTTCCAGTAAGAAATCAATGAGGCCTTATTTAAGAAAACGGCAACAGAAAAGCTTCACAAACTTAATCCTGCAAAACTTAGCTTTTCATCATATAATTCTAGGTATCCCAATCCAGCATTGAGTTAAGGACTCTAAAACTTCGGTAAATCCAATAGGACTCGGGAAATAAAGTTAAGACATCAAAATTCGTATACTTAGTCCATTTATATACTTGGTTCATATCACCAACTTCTGGATAGCCAGATCTAGCCTAAAATGGTAGGACCTAAGGTCAGCACACATACATGATCTGTACCTATTTTTTAAGGAGTTCTAAGCCATATTTTCATGCCTATAGAACCAGAAGAAAAGAACATTGCGACTTTAGTTAAAACTCTAACAAGAACCTTGCTATCCCTTTATGATATCATGCAATTCAGCTTCCAAAAGAAAGAAAGGATATAATTTTGCCAACTTAGAGCAACAAATTGATATTAAGAGAAAGATAAAGAATATACTGGGATACTGATGGAAGGCAACAGAAATAGTTCACCATAATCTTGCTTGGATACGGTTCTCCAAAGCTTCATATGCCTTGCCACGTAAATAACAAACTGCTGCAGTAATCTGCAAGAACATGAATGAAGCTTGAGCTTATATGACAAAAAATCAACATCAATTAATATTTGCAGTGCCAATTAAGCTACAAAACTTAAGACAAATATGTATATCAGCATCAAATAACCTAATGCGCTAAGCAGCAATAGAATTAACGCGGCAACAGCAACTCGTTAATTGAATAGTAAAAAAAAACAAGCCAATTCCAACAGTGACTTCAAAATTCTGAGCTAGAGATTTAAATAAGAAATTGCAAAGCCAGAACAACCAGACAAGAAAAAGATAAAGGAGGCAAATGCTTGAGTACTCATAAGGATTGAGATCATACTAGTATCAAATTAAATTCTTAAGTACCCTGTAGCTGAGTTGTAGCAATTCACATCAAGTTAGAGTAGGTTCAGATCAAGTAATAACTTAGTTTGACACAAAGCCCCGCCCAACCTAGTGGCCCAAGCAATCGAGAAAACAATGCCAAGAAATAGAGGATGCTGTTAAAGACAACAAAGAACAGTTTGGGCACATATCTAAATCTCATCCAATCTGTTTCTTTTTTTTTGCATTCTTTTCTACCCTTTTAAGAAAAAAAATACTCCTTTCAAGACCAGACTAGAGTATAGCAGCACATATATAATATTCCAACAATTTTGACAGGTAAAAAATCACAAAATTTATATATCTCATTTTTCACCCATCTTAAAACTTAAAATCAGTATTTTTAAAAAACCTACAGCTTATATCAATCATTTTAGTATATACATATACATAAGAAATTTTGAGTATATAAGCTTATATGAATTAAATTGGTTTCAATTATATTTTCCTAAGTTAAAATTTAATAACAATGTTTATTGGAAGTATGGCACTGTAGCAGCCTTTCAATTTTCAACAATCCACTTTCTTGGACATGAAACTAGTAATGGAAATCAGATGGCTTGGATGAAGTGCAATTAAGGGCATTTCAGGAAAATGGAATTAAGCAAACTACCTAAATATAATACCCTAACACTAAGTTGAATCCGCTCCCCTTCGATCCGCCTAGAAGCTCTCGTCCGTGGCTACATAGCGGCAAGCTGAAAGGGAAAAACAGAAGTTGGCCGAAGGAAATGAGAAGAAAAGAAATGGGAAAGCTAGAAAATTAAGGTAAAATTTTAGTTTTTGCGAGTTCTTTTGCATATTGACTATAAATAGAAGTTGAAAAACTTGAGATTTATATGAGGAGATTTTGTTGAAGTAAAACTTGTAGTTTAAGCTTAAAATGATTGTTAAGTGTGTCAGAAATGGTAATCAAAATTTTTACATGTTAAACTATTCTTTAGATCATTTACTAACGAAAGACGTTTCGAGGTGTCTATGGCGAGACAGCCTATCCAAGGACTAATCATTCACACCCTCAATTAAATAAGATATGCAATTTTAATTTCAGAAAGTAATTTTTAGGAGTTCTAATTTTAGAAAGCAACTTTATATCAAATTTGAAGTGTAAAATGATATGTTAATTGGATTAAATTCATTTTCATCTATTACATAGAAGTTTAAAAATATAGCATTAAAAGTTATTTTATTTCAATTTAAAAGTGTATTTATATAAGGTTATAAGATGAAAAATATGATACATATATCTAGACGTTCGAACAATGAAATCTAAAAAAATAAGCTTTAGAAAGACCATGTATATAGATAGGTTGATACTGTGACAACTTGTAAAGGTAGGGCAACAAAGAGAACCCATCAGAAGGTAAAAGAGTCTTTCAATTAAGATGTGTATGATGACTTGTACATGTTGGGTAACAAAGACGGACCATATGGAGGAAAAAAGGTCATCAGCACGTAGCTTTCGACTTCTGGTAGTCAATAAATCACTTCCACATACATGATATATCATAAAGCTAAAAGAGAGATGTATATGATACATGTAATCAACAAAAAAAACTAGACAATTAGATTATAGAATAATAAATGTACACACTTTCTATGAAATGTTATTAATACGTGAAACTCTAATATTTTGCCTACAGTTTTCTGTCCAATTAGATATTTTGCTTACAAGCAAATCATATGTTAATTTAGGTATTTCATATGTGAGGACATAAAGTAGCATATTAAACTAATATATGAGTTAATGAGTATAAGTAAAATTTTTAAGATAATTGCATTGTGTCTTTAAATTGTTTGTCTTGCTGACTTTTAGCTCATACCATATTATGTTGAACATCATTTCAAGTAAAGGATGAGATAGAACACAAATAAATGTCATATTTTGATATTTTGGTCAACATCATCTTTTGGGTATACAGTTTTCTTCTCAGATAAAGTTTTGGCAAATATATTTATCATAATTCATGTCAAATCTTTTGATGATATACAAAAAAAATCTTAATTTATTTAAGCAGCTCTGTAGTTTAATTGATGAAAAATTTATTTTGAAAATGCTTTAGCTCTAGTAAATTGTGGATATTTTCACTTCTTCAGATTAGAAATTTATGATATTCAAAAAGGTTAGTAGAACTTAACTTTGTTCACCTCGGGTGGACCTAGAGGGGTCATCGTGGGGTGTGACAGCATATGATTTCTCTTCACATGCAACATTGATGGTGAATAGCAATAGAATATAAAAAAGTTACTGAAACATGCATCAAATAAATACGAATAGAAGCAAATACCTGGAGTTGCAATTGCACGAAAATAATTAATTATTGGTACATGTATCACTATCAAATTTGATCAAGAGAATATGTAGCGTATAGGTACATATATTGTGTATGATCAGGAGCATGTATTACTGGTTAAATTCCTCAATATGTTAAACGACCAAAAGTTGGATATATGAAATCTTAGTCAAAATATGAACAACAGTCATCATGACCTACACAATTGATAAAACCTACTAGAAAAAAAGAATCAAGTTTTTAGTCGCTATCTTACATAGAGATCAATGAAATCATAAAAAAGGGCCATTCATAACCATTTGATGCAAATTTAAAATCAATACTCGTTGGATATACAAATCATGTGCAATGATGAAGTTCTGATTATTTTATTTTCTATTATTTTAGTTTTCATGCAAAACATGTCTATAAGGAGGGCTCCAATATGAACAAAAAGAATTCTCAATGATTTTCTTAGAATTAGCTCATAATATTTCAACCCAGCACATATAAAGTTTATATTAAATTCCATAATTGTTGCAATGAGAATTTGAAGTCTACTTGCTACAAGAGTATTGTACCTTGTTTCTTAGTATTAGTTTTTTTCAACTATACAACCATATGGCTCCCTCTCACTATTTTTCCTACCTATTGATCTCTGCACACACCATTGCCTCTTGTTGTTGCTGCCTTAGTTCTACTTCATGCTTCTGCGCTTCCTAATACTTGCCACTGATATTAATCGCTATTACCATTGTTACTGCATCTATTGCCAACTATTCCCAAAACCTCATGCATTTTTTTGACCCGTTATACCTGTTGTTTCCTCTATTAATTGCAAACACTATCATTGTCGCATTTGTTTCCTCTAACTCCTAATTGCACCAACTCCATATTTTGGCAATGCTCACTTGCCTGATTTGGCATGCCTAGAGTAAACTACGAATTGGATTTTACAAATTCAAGAGCTAGGGCTTTCTATCAGAAATTTGAATGCTATTGGAGTTCATGAGGGTGTGTTAAAACCGATTGTATTTACTTAGATCTTCACAGATTCTTAGAGTTCATATTTTGGTGTTTGATGGGATTAAACTAGAATTCTAAGGCATAAAAAATTTGTTAAATGATGAGTACAAAATGAAATTTTCAATTGTCTCTAAATCTTGTCTGTGTGCTGATATGACATCATTATTAAAGTGTTTTACAAGTTTTGAGTGTTGACAACCATATTTGGGGATAAGCCTCCCGATATCATTGTGGGATCTAGTTCTTCATTTTCAGTGATTTCTCTTAATGTTTTTACTTCAACTTTAGTCATTGGTTTTTATGCGTGAATGAAATTTTGTCAAGTTTGAAAAGAGGGAGATTTATTCATATTGTAAGGGCAATCTTTGCTAAAATTTTATATTAGTTTAATATACTTCTCATAAATTCAAGTTTTAGCAACAATCAAATCATTTCTTGGAATGAACGAAGCTTGCTCGGTGTTTTTATATTAAAATAGATTGATCTTTGCTTTAGTTTAGAGTTGTGTTACTTGAGGACTGCGGTTAATTTGGGAACTTTCATTATGCATCTCATCCTAAATTCCATTAAAAAAACCCTAGAATCTTAACCTTCTTGCAACAAAGTAATATCAGGGCCTATGGTTACATCATTATGTTGATTAAAAGGACATAATATTTAGGTCAATTAGAAATTAATAAAAGATGAAACACAAACAAAATTAAATAAGTTATTGGTCTAAACAAATACAACATAGCAATCAAAAGTATCAAAATTACATACATATATTTGAAGGAAGATATCTAAGATTATATTCATAATGGATTGATAATTTGATTAGGGGTAGTTATGTTGTATGCATTTTTCTTATTTTAGGTGTTGACTTGTTTCCTTTTCTTCCCTAAAATAGTTTATATTGGCATGTATATATTACATTGATCAATAAGAAAATAATTATTTTATGCCACTCATCCTTGAATAGTATCCCTGAAGAGAAATCCTTATCTATTCCTTTTAAACATTTCAAACATATTCAACACAAAATGCATGCATAATAAAATTTTATCTTATTGAAGAAATTTAAAGTTCCAAAATATCCTTTTAAAATAATGAATTAATAAGAATTGAATTATTTTATTGTTTTGAAGTCTAAATTTGCACATACATTAGCATATATAATTAAACATGCATCTAAACAAAAGCTGAATCATGAATTTGAAATTGAGTTTAAGTATAAATCTAAACCTCAATTAGAATATGAACATGTCATTCAAATTGAACCTGCAATTAAAAATTGGTAACTTGTGCATTGTGATTTTTATGTATGTTTCATCTGCATCCATCCAATGATGCATTTGCAACCCCAATATACTTAATCCTCATGCATCACATAAATAGTTGATCCAATTTTGTGTGCATTTATATTGAGAAATCAAGCTTAAAGCCTAGCTTCACATTATATGTTGACTTCAATTTATATTAGCAACTATGGAAAGCTTATAACCTCAATTTTGTAGCTAAAAAACAACGGTAATTTATTATGTTTAAGCAGGATTCATATAAAAAATTGTTGCAATGACCTCCAGTGCTAATCCAACAAATTTTATCGTGCTTTAACTAGAGACAAACTAAAAGATTGTTGCAATTAAAGCATTTTTGCAATAATTTTAAATTGCTTACAATGGAGACAGATGGACTGATAGAAATACGTAAGTTTTTGCAGAAAACTTCTAAATTTATGAAAAAAATGGCAACCTTGATTAATAGCGGTATAACCACTAAAGGTCTATTTTTTCTTAAAGCACAAACTATAAAGGTGTTACATCACAAACCCCCAACAGCAATTGGGAGATTACTGTGCTTAAATTCCGCGATGAACAATAAACAAGACTCTTACGTTGATTTCATGATCCTCTCCGTCCTTGTCCAAGTACATAGGACTGCAATCCTTCGGGCTATTAACGTTTCCGTGCTCATCCACTTTAGCATCGCCAAGCATCGTCAAGCACTGGTGCCATTCTTTCAGCTCCTCCTAACGAAAAGAACAAAGCATTTAAAGTGTTAATTCATAGAACTGCAGATTGATGGATGAACAATGGAGATTTTAGAAGGTACGAGGCACTTGGCGGCAAGGTAGCGGAAGCGCAGGTCGCGAAGGACGATGGAAGAGGAGTTGAGTAGGTGGAGGGCGCGGCGGTACTGGTGCCCAAGGAAGAGGGCCTGAGCCTGCATGTAAATGTCGGCGGGATCAGAAGTTGCCGCCGCCACCTTCTCAGCAAAAAAGATGGCGGAAGAGTAGAGATGTTTGCTAAGGCAATCCCTCACCAATCCCCTCAGCCTCTCCACTTCCTCCTCCTTCATCTGTTCTTGCCCCTACAAAAAAGTTGCTGTCTCTTTGCTCCACTCTCGCTTCTTTCTTCCCTTCTGATAAACCCTCACTTTCGCTTGTGAAATAAAAAAATTGGAGAGGGAAAGGTTTTTGGAATTAGGGCTTGGAGAACAGAAGCGAATAAATATGTACAGGCTCTTGGGCTGGCCCGGCTAAAACTTAAGGCCAGCATTGAAATTTGCAGTATTTTGGGCGCAAAATATGCGATTAGAAAGAAATAATGCTCTCCTATAGTCACTGACCTATCAATTATTTTAGGCCTCATTTGGGACTGTTTATTTACCATTTCTTCTTGCAGCTGCCAAAAAGTTATTTTAGGAAGCAGTAAAAAAATCGTCTCAAATGAAATCTTAGTGATCGACTTTTAGGAGCTATTTGATTTGAAGTAAATTGGGTTTAAAGAAATCTTTATACATGAGTTTTCAAAATATTTATATTTGGTTGGATCAAAAAGTAATGTAAAGTACTGTGAAAAGAATGCAAAACACAACATTTTAGTTCACTTCTGAGATAAATTAAACTAACCCAATTTCTAGCGAAAATTATTTTTATTGCAAATAAGTCCTCTTGCCGCCATCTGTTGTCAAATAATATCAAAATATTTATTTTACACTATATTTCTTTTATATTGTATTTATTTAACATTGCACTCAATTTTCAATGATAAGATTAGAGAGAGTCGCCTTAGATGATTTAGTCACATAAAAAGGCGGCCTTCCGATGATCTGGTTAGGAGAGTAGAGGTATTAGATTTAACTTATGTTAAGAAAGGCAGAGGTAGACCTAAAAAGACTTGGTTAGAAAATATTAGGAATGACCTTTCTTTATTAGATTTAACGAGAATTTGACTTTTAATATGACACAATGGAGAAAAAAGATTCATGTAGCCGACCCCACGTAGTGGGATAAAGGCTTGATGTTGTTGTTGCACTCAATTTTCAACCAATAAAATAGCCCCTTAATATAGTAAGATTAAACGCATAGACTAGTTTAGTCTAGGTTATACATATTATCCACCTTAAAAAAATTTGGTCCCTAATGCAAACCTTAATTATGGAATAGTTGTCGGTACTTTGCAATCATCTCTTCTTCAATCTCCTATATTGCTTCTCATTTCTCATTCTAACTTGTTATTTCAAAGCACTCTGACAAAGAGAATAGATTGATGATGAAGCTATCAAATCTTACATTCCAAAATGCACTCTGATGTCTCTTCATGTCTCAAATTTTCTTAAAACATTAGGGTGTCTCCAACCGAGCTCCAAATGGCTATAACGCGTAGCTGGTTTGCTCAATTCGAACGACAAAAAATTGCTAATCGGTGGCAGGTGAATAGTGAGATGTCATTATTGGCGTAGTACTGTTCATCTACGCGATTTTTCTGTCTCAACCGAATTTGCTGAAGAAACGCGCGAAAGAGGAGAAAGTCCTTTACCTTCGCAAAAGCGCTCAAAAATGAAGTTCGATTGAAGATGAATCATAACATTTTTTAGTTCACTGTATTTTAGAGTGAAAAATGAGATTTTCGGCTAGAGACGCCATTAATGGCTTAAACTAATTAATATGAGAATTATTATACACGTAGCATTACAAAAAGGATACTCGAAAAATATTATGCATACATACAAATCCTGGAGGAAGTGCCAATCTATATGAAACTTTGCCAAACTCTTAAGATTACTTTCAAAAGATCCAATGAATTCAATGTTTGGACATCTTTTTTGAAATAAACATATGTAAGGATTATATTGAGGTTTTAGATTTAAATCTTAAATTTTGAATTTATCTAATTAAAGAAAATAATGGATGGTTGTTATAATTTAAAATTTAGACCTGATCTTAAGTATGATGTATGCCATACACTATGGTTAATTTATATATATACTAATTTTTAAGAATCTCTTAATTAATAATCAATGCAAATTGGCTTTTGTTGATTTTTTTTAATATAATGCATGTCTAATAATACGATTGACGTCTTATAGTACGATCTATTATGGTCAAATTATAATAATTAAATATTTTAAATTAATTTCGTTGTTGAATTCAATTGTCTATGTGCGTTCTACACTTCTACTTATTTCACCAATGTATTTGTCTGAAATAAAAATATTTAAGACTAAAAGTGAAAAGAATGATAGTAACATTCGAGTCATGTCGCTCTTAATTCAAATTGCCTCCGGCTCGTTTTAAAGCTATGATTGATATGTCATCAAAAAAATATCTTGATGGGGCACAAATTTTGATGCAAAATCAAATTGAAAACTTTCAAAATTAAAATGGAGACCATCCTAGCTCCGATTTCAGCAAACTTATAGTCGAACTGAGCCTCTTGAGAATATGAACCCAACGACACCAAATCCAACACAATCCGAGCCCAAACGGGTCCAAATCAAAGGTTAGAAGTGATTTTGGAAGGTTTGAAACACAATTTAGATTACCAAACGGTTTTCAAACATAATGTGCTTAAAGTCGAATCGAGCGGCTCGACAAGACAAATCCAACGAGCCCAAGATCACCGAATTCCGACATCATTAAGACATTCAAATGTCCATCAAACGGTTCATGATCAAGGGATTAAACATCGGTCGTCCATCCAACCATTTTCCATTTGCCCTTGATCTCCCACCTATTTACAGGTCATGCCACTCCAAAAATATATATATAGAACTCTCTTTTCTCTTGAAAAAGGATCCCAAGCCAAAAGATTCAAGAGAGAGATCAGATATCGCTCTTGCCTCATTGCTCCTCCTCGACCAAGGCCTGACGACGGTGGTCCGACCACTTGAGGCACTCACCTCCGCCAGACCACCGTCTGACGTCGTTGCTCCACGGGACCACCACTTGAGGCCCTCACCTCCATTAGACCACCGCCTGACGTCGTTGCTCCGCCGGACCACCACTTGAGGCCATCACCTCCGACGGACCACCGCCTGAGGTCGTTGCTCCCCTGGACCACCACTTGAGGCCCTCACCTCCGCGGGACCACCGCCTGACATCGTTGTTTCGCCGAACCACTACTTGAAGCCCTCACCTCTGCCAGACCACCGCCTGACGATGTTGCTCTGCCGGACCACCACTTGAGGCCCTCACCTCTGCCGGACCATCGCCTAACGTCGTTGCTCTACCGGACCACCACTTGAGGCCCTCACCTCCACCGGACCACCACTTGAAGCCCTCGTCTCCACCGGTCTACCACCTCAGGGTCTAAACTCTGTCGGACCACCACCTAAGGGTCTGAACTCCGCTAGACCATCAATTGACATCAGAGTTCCGCCAAGTCACTGTCGTACTACAAACTAACACCTTAACTTCGAAGTGACACCATATTTGACACTAGACTTCAACCATACGATTGACATTTGTAATATGATCGCCCTTAGGAACGAGTCAGCCTATTGCAATCTACCCAAACACTAGTGAAATCATTTCAGATAGGGGCACGCCCCGTAGTTTTTCCCCTTTCCAGGATTTTCCACTAAAAATATCATGTGTTCTCTATGTGTGAGCTAGATATTCGTACAACGTTAAGACGCAATATTTTAACTCTATCGCCGCATATAATCTAGCCCCAATAATAATCTTATGAATTCAAAGCTTGTACTTTTTTTCTTGAGCTACAGACTTCATTTGACTTTTGCATGTTCCATAGTTATACATAACATATGCATTTTAACTTTCCAATGTATAATTGTAGTTGTCATTACTAAACCCTACACACATTTAAAAAAATAACTTAATCAACTTATAGCTTTAATCATCAAAAATTCATGATGTAATCTAAGCTCTTGAGGTCAAGATAGTTGGGACAGCAAATATATGCTTCAATTGGGACGACTTTCTTACTACTTCTTAAAGCAACTTTCTTGTACAAAAATTTTAATTTTTGTGCTGTAAAACATATTTAAGAAGCAGTAAAAAAATCACCCCAAATGAATCCATAATCATGTTGTAAAATAAAAAGACATTTAGACTCTATATCATAAAAATACTCATGTGAATAGTCTAAAATTAGAGGAGGACATAAAACTAAGATTCTTGAAGAGAAAAGAAAATTAATGAAAAACATACCTCCATTAATGAATTAATGGTTGCATATCATCAACTAATTTTCTTTCTCATCATATATATATATATATATATATTTGTAGTGGACTTAATATTTGTGAACATTTCATATTCAAATCAATAAAATAATGAGCTGAACATAACAACAAAATCTAGCTCATTTCCTTGACAAGACGAATGAAACAATACTTCTCAATTACACCCTTACAATTATGAGAGAGGCAGCAGTTAATGAGGGAGAAAAGTTCAAGAGATTACGTAGGCATGCCAGCTGCAAGTACAATACTTAATGTAGGATCAGGATCAACAAACTCCACAGCTGCTGGTGTCTTTCTTTAAGCAATAATATTAGTTGCAAACCACAGGCATTAGATCCGTTGATTAATAGCCTCGTCTCCAACATATAAGTATAAGATTTGAAACATCCCAAAATAAATACCATTAGCGACCACCACTAAAGTTTTAAGTAAAATTATAATCACATTCTTATATTTGATTTAGTCTTCAATTTTTTTTACTTCTTCTTAAAATAACTTTTTAATACACAAATTTTTTATTTTGTATTAAAAAGTGCTTTAAGAAGCAATAAGAAAGCCATCCGAAATGATAACTTAGGCTTCATTTGAGATAGCTTTACTGCTTTTACAAACAAAATTTTAATTCAAAAAAAAAATTGTACTAAAATATTGCAATAAAAAACAGTAAAAAAATTATCCCAAATAAAATTTTAAATTACAATTAGAACTCTAGTATATTAGAAATATGATTAACAAACAACTATTAGGTTACTTCATCATGATATAAAATTATGAGTTCAAATCACAAAAATCTATTTCTTCACCATACATAATACGCAAAAACGTACATAAGGTTGCCAAAATGAACAGTTTCAAGTTCACAAGCATTACCAGAATTCATTAAAAGATGACGGGTTCAAGGGATTTTAACACCTTCAAGCCTAACTTAAACAAGAAGTGGAGGAATTATTCTGTGCAGAGTCCAGACAAAAAAAATCGTCAGGATTACTATGTATTTGTTGAATCTGAGCATTTATAAATACTCATCAAATACACATCAAATCAACAAATACTCAGTAATACTCACAACTATATATTTGCTGAGTATTTACAAATACGCAGCAAATCTGGACAGTTCTAACCGTCTGGACTCCACACAAAATAATTTCTCCAAGAATTGATATGAATAATTTTTTTATTTCATACTGAGACGAAATTTTTTAAATAAAGAGCTGCGAACTAAAACTAATGAAGTATCAAGGAACAATCAGGGTTGCTTTATTAATATTCTACCAAGGAGAATCAGATATATCTCATATCATATCAGGCCAATCCACTCTCTAATGTAGTCCAGCAAAGCTAATTTTATAGCTCTCATTTCACATTGAAAAAGGTGTAGGAGAGGATCAGGTTGTTGATGCCATCCATTTTGGGATCCGTCGCAAACTCGGGGTCAATATAGAAAAACACCTGCAGAATACCACATGGCATGGTTAAGGAGAAAATTAAGGAATTAGTTAACAAAAGTACTTACTGGCATATCTATTTGTTCTCCAGGGAGCAGAGTCTGCTCCTCGAAGCAGAAGCATTGTATTTTGTTGAAGTAGATGGCAGCCTGTATGAAAGAAGAGCTACAATTGTAGAAGTGGTAGGTAGAGAGTGTTGGAAAATAAGCAAAATTTAATTTAAACTCAGAGAGAAAAAATAAAGAATAAAAAAGGTCACCGCCAGAAAAACTCTGAAAAATTGATGATCATCCTTAAGAAACCATCGTAGGTTTCATTATGATTTGATTGTGGATAACTAACATACAATCACAACTTTTCAAGTAAAATGAAGACGTTGCCACACTATTAAATAAAAGCAAAGACAGTTGAAAATACCATAAAATCCTCAAAATTTCTTTAATAAAATTACCTGTAAATATTGGATACCGTCAAAGAAACCAGCCCCCCAAACCCTCAGAGAGGGCACCCTATGACTAAGGCTTCGTTTGGGATTGTTTTTTTACTGCTTTTTAAAATAGCTTTCTAGTATAAAGATTTCTAGTTCAAAAAAATTTTATAGTTGAAAGCTACTTTAGAAAACATTAAAAAAGCCACCCCAAACGAAGCCTAAATCTGCATAGCGAGCTTTATTCAAAGGATAAAACTTAGGCGCCTCAAAATAATAAAAAAAATGCATCGACGAAAATGATGAATTGCAAAGGCATCAATCCTGCTTCGAAGAATCTATTTTAATGATCTTATGAACATAATTCATCATCGTTGAATATAGTATTGCACGTTCTAAATCAAAATGAAAAAATATTTGTGGACCCATGAACTATCCCTCCAACTTCAACTAAACTTAATGGAATTTTATATTTCTATTAAATAGTGCTCATAAGGTGTCATATTTATAATAGATTATTAGCTATTGCTACAAGTGAACTCTATTAATGGACTATGATCCCCCTAGCTATCTCAAAAACCTAAAGCACACAATAATGCAACACGAACATAAAGGCTAAAGACAAATCATTAGATAATATATTACATCAAGATTTGGGCTATTCATCATGCAAAACTCTGCATACAAGCCTATGGATAATTCATCATCCCTCTAAAATCATTACAGAATAATTAAGAAGCTTAATTTGAGGTCTCTTAATGGATATATTGGCAACACTAATCAAAGAGATGAAGATATTCAAATATTGCTTGATTTCAATACCCCCACAAGCCTTGTTTGGCATAGCCAAATTTTCGTGCTTATGAAGGTTTTGAATTTTGTAACATTCTACTTATTTTATTTTCCTTTGTATTAAGAGAAGTAATTAATTCATGTAATGATAATTGATAGGCTCCCAAGGCTTTCCAAACTTCAGTAAGCATGAAAATACCTAAGTAAAGGAACTAACTTTGCACTTTTATATTCATTAAATAAAACTATCTTTAATTTATGCAAATTTCACATAAGAAGACTTAGTAGCTACACTACTATTTGTGAAGCTTGGTAGTTGATCCCTTATGATTTTGGTGAGTCAATTGTTATCTTTTCATCTCTACTCTCCCATAACATAATTCTGCTCTACTCCATATAAGGCTCGGTCAATTCTAAATCATAGCCCACTCAATTCCAAGATACCTTCAACCACTTAAAAACTCTCCTACACATAGCCCCACAAACCCTATAACTTTCTAAGGAGTAAACTTCTCTTTAAGCCTACAATATCATAATCAAAAGCCCAACATAGATGAGCAACAAGATTAAAAAATTCCAAAGTCAAACCCTAATTAAAAATCAATAAAAATATCACTATTAATTTTCTGATATCCCAAACCTTCACTCTTAGTTCACCACTCTTTTACTACAAGAAAAGCTTATATTTAGAAAGCTTAAGAGTTTCAACTTCAAATATGTCCAAAACAAAACCCTAAATACCCTCTTTTCTCACCACCCACATAAACCTTCCACCAATAAACTAGGGAGACACTAATCAAAATCAAGATTCTATAAAGCCTACATCACATGACCATACTAGATCCTACAATACTTGAAAGGTTCTTTCTAATTGACCATCAGTCAGTGAATGAAATGTTTTATTGAAATTCAATTTAGTGCCCAAACTTTAATGAATTCCCTTACATAATTTGGATGTAGATCTCATGTCTCGGTCTGATATAACTATTTTAAGAATTAATATTTGTGTAATTATGTTCACAAATATTTATGTCAATTTTGCAATAGCATCAGTCTAACTAGTAGATAGAAAGTGTGCTGATTTTATCCACATATCAATTACAACCCAAATGCAATCATGCTCGTGCCTTGATCTACAAATTCCTATGACAAAATATGTAGTTGTCTTTCCACTTCCACTTTGGTATTGATAATAACTGTAACATTCCGCTGGCTCCATAATGTTCAAATGTCACTACTTTGCATGATTCATATATAATGATGCAAACTAGCCATTTTTCTACATCCCATGCCAAAAAAATGCTTTAAATATTTATAAATTTTGGAACCACCTAGATAAATCAAATAACCTACGCGGTGAGCCTCATATATAATATTTTGAATCAATTTGCAATCTCTTGGAATTCAAATATGCAAATTATTTTTAATCACACAATGCTTATTTATATTAAGATCATTTCTTTTGCCCGTCTATACTCGATTAAATCAACTTTTGATATTCATACTGCCCCTCTGTAAATCTCTGATTCTTCCCTTATAATAGGATGCACAATCAACTGATATAAACTGCTTCTGCCATGTTCATTATGAACTGTAGCCTCTAACTGTTATGCCTCCACGTCTCTAATCAGTTCTGCTTCCAGAGTTAATATCTATCCAAGTCTACAGAAGCTCGATTCAAGCAAACCAAATAGTCTTACCCAAGAAGCCTAGATCACTGATGTAAGAATGCCGATTAATCTTCTGACTGCAAAATCAACAATGAAACTCTTTACTCCCTTTGACTCATCCTCCTTAAGGGAGCAATTCACTTTCCCAATTAAAAAGTAAGGCTAGGGTAAAACACCGATTTTAATTGGTTCACAATAACTACTTACGGAAGGTCATTAACACTCGGTAGAATGCAACAATAGCTCTCATTTAGTGATAATACTATAAAAAAAATATGGTAGGAAATTAGATCATGCAAACAAGCAACCCAAATTTTTCATCATAACAACAAAATTCAATCTATATAGGAAAATTCTGATAACATGGGAACTAAGCATTTAGTCTCCAAAAGGATTGTCATTCAAGCATATTTTGATGGAAAAACATCAATAACAAATAACTTAGTTTTGTTTGGGCAAAAACTAACAAGTTAAGCTAAAAACTACCGCAGATTAAACAGAGAGAAGTAAGAAAACCTTATTAATAAACCTTAAAAAAGAAACACCAATGGGGGGCCTTATAGGAGGGCTCTCTTTTGACTATTTCTTCCTACTATATCCTGAATAAAAAATTGATCACACCAACAACCGATTCATATCTAAGAACGGAGAATCAAAGGATCGTCCAATACATTGTTGGGATATGTGGATGGGGTTAGATGTGGCTGGCAGTCTATTTTCAAGAGACTGGAGTTTGGAGAATTGAGAGAAGAAGAATTCACAAAATACAAGAAAAACCACAATCACATCAAACAAAGGAATCAAGTAGAGACACGAAGGTAAGCTTTTGAGGTTCCCAATTAGGTTCAGATAGAAAAAGTTCACTTGATCTTCTCTATTCAAAGAGGTTCCAACTGTTGAACCGTAGCACTGTAGCGAGCTCAGTTGTTCCTTTGAAAGCTATTGGGTAAGCAAACCATAAATAAAGGACCATGAATCAAAATCCAAACTAAACCTCAAGACAAGTTGGAATGCAAAAATGACTTCAAATTTTTTAATCCAAATGATTCTAAAAGGTTGCTTGGATCAAGTTAATTCTACTACATTTAATGTCCCAACTTTGCACAAATCAAAATAGCAAGCTATAGCTAGCTTCACCAGCAATGCTGAATTTTCCTGACTACGCCAAAGCCAACCATCTTGAGATCCTTTTTTTTTATTTATTGTAATCTTGAAATCCTTATAAATGGGGGTGATATCAAGTTTAGTTTGAGCAAGTGAACCTGCATTCGAAATCAAATATTTTAATTTTGATTGAAGTCATATTTGATGGAGTAAAAAATTATTGATTTTCAAGAAAATTCGGGCCAAGCCATTAACTTATATATATATATAATGTGTGTGTATGCATACATATATCATATATTGAATTAATTTTGAGTTGAATCAAGCTAATTTTGAGCAAGTCATTAACAAGTTGGAGCAAACTGATTTTGACTTCATATAAATTAAACATAAAGCGGGTTTCAAATTTCTAGAATAATTATCATCCCTACTTCAGGATCAATCAAAATGAAAACAAGCATTTTATAGTTTAAAAATGTTGAGCTGAGCTATGAAACAATTTAGAAAAAGGATCAAGAAGAAAATCATATGGCAAGCACTAAAAGTTGAACATATGAGGAAGTTGTCATCACTGATCGGATAGAATTTTTTAAATTGCAAAGTTGTATTAAGAAGAATAAGGCAGTCAGAAAATCTCTTAAATAATGACAACGAAAATACTCTTTTGCAATATTAGCGTAATTAACTCATGCATAGTTCCAAAGCAAATTAGTTCATTGTTTATAAAACAGTTATAACCTGAATTCCTTACCTTCATCGGGGTGACATTGTATGTAGCAACACCAGTTATTGGAGCTGAGCTACGATTTTCAGCTGTGTAGAATGCAAGTGCGCTTTCACCAGGTTTTACTCTTACCTGCACTACTGGTAAAATGTAGTAGGGATATCTCCACCTAAAACTATATTAGAATCTTACACATGGTTAAGAAAAAAGACCTGTCTTTGCGTAGGAACAAACTTCCAAGGCATTCCATCAGCAACATCAGCATTGAATTGAACAACAAGCTCCCTGAAAATAAAAACGAACAAGTAACCTTAAAGCATGACATAATTAAACTAGATTGAATGAAACATTCCCAGAGGTATAGTGTCTCATTTCATGCAACCAAGACTACGAAAATGATTCACATATAATGAGTTTATGAGCCGAATAATAATGATAAAAAAGTATCATGAAAATCATAACTTCCCTTCTGCAGAAATAGCTCAGAGACAAATCATACATAGGAGAATGGTAGGTTCTGTTTAACACATTAAGTAGATTGTTTTCCGCTTCAAAGGGGCAATCAACAAAAATTTATTGATTAATAAACATTCAATTACACACAAACAACTTAATACATAGAACTTGCAATTAAAAAGTGAAGACAAAAGGAGGGGAGTAGTAAAAGTTCTAATCATTGGAACTAGGAATTAGTTTACATGATACTTCCATAAATCCAAACCGAATATAGCTCCAAAGCCTTTGTACTGAAAAGGTAGCATTGACAGATACTCTAACAAAAAGCACAAAAATATATAAACTGCACTTCAGCAGTAAAGCTGAAAAAATCTTAACGATAATTAACAGCCAACGCAAAATCAACCAAATCAGAAAAAACACAAGGAAAATTGGCAAGCACTTTATCATATATAAAAACCTCATTACCTGTCAAGTCAATGATAAGAAAAAATTATAGTCACTTGAGGCTAAGAAATTCATCATCAACTCGCGACTCTCTGCCTAATTTTTCGGTAAACTAATACCTAAGACCTGTCAAGTCAATGATAAGAAAAAATTATAGTCACTTTCGGTTAAGAAATTCATCATCAACTTGCAACTCTTTGCCTAGTTTTTCAGTAAACTAATACCTAAAGATGTCATGCATGATGAAACTAAACAAATTCCAACGCAAGCCAAATTCATCGAAAACCAATAAATATTTTAAACTTACAAATCTGGAGAGCAGACTTATTAATAGTAAAGAAGCATTACCTTGAAGCAGTTGTCCCATCTCGAGTATGGCGCACGATCTTCTCCTCCACACTCTGCAGAGACCCATTCCTTGTCACAAGCCATAAATCATTCATTATTCCCAATAAAAAATCCCCACAAGTAAAGACTTTGAACAAAATCACACTTATAGTAGTACTGCAAATTGCAAACATATATAGTTTTTTAATAAACCTTCGACCCTGAAGTCTAAATTACATAAATATCAACCAGAATTTTTGATGGGTACAAGTTTAGTACTCTATGACTGTTCCATTTACTCCTTTAAAGTTCCTAGCATGAGCAAAACGTCATAAATTCTTTAACCACAGTTTATGGTCGGAGGTCGACTTGTTTGGCTTTGAAAGAAAATGCAGCCCTTTTTGAAAGTAGATAGAAGCATGGAAGAGTGGTTAAGCTATCTCAATTGTAATGTGGAGGTTCTAGGTTCAAGTCATAAAAACAACTCTCCATAAATGTAGTGCACACTCCATGCATCCTGCATTGGCGTGAGCTCCATTACCTAGTTAATCCATTTATCGTGTAAGCATGGATGGGGGTCATGCCTCCGCAGTTTGATTAAATAAATGAAGATTAGCCAAAAAGTTACTTAGGCAATGAGATGCATAAGCTTTATGAGATAAAATGAATTAGATGATGTGCAATTAACATGTTATAGGAAATTCAACGTTTTAATGATTGTTAGGTAGCAGGATTTAGACAGAATTTACCTTAAACCCGGCCAAATGTAAGAAATGCGCACGATAAATCCCACCCCGTCGTAAATCTTGGATTTACTGATTTTGCCCATCAATTTAAGATTTTTTAAATCTCGTAGTTCAATAGATAAGTATTTAACAAGCTTTGCCAGATTACGAAGAAGCTCTCACGCATCCTTGTCGTCGAGTATTGTAAATCCTTATCTACAGAAGGGTTCATGTACCACCTCCACACCCTATCATCGCTGCAAGTTCGCACCGCCATCTTTGAGACTCCCGACCAAAAGCTTCAGTTGTTCCTCGTCTATCATCTCTAGTGAAAAAAATAGACATTCTACTCAGCTTTTTTTTACAAGTGCCTTTTCCCCTAGGATAGAGAAATCCTCAAGTTCAGAACTCTAGAACGATCATCAAATAGCAGCCAATCGTTCCCGAGAAGGTCCTCTAGCTCAAATTTGTTTAGTAATTTAATAAATTCATTTTTTTGTTTGTCGCTATTCATAACTTGGGGATATGTAAAATACTTTGAATTAAGCAAATGAATTTAATAAGAATATAGTTTTCACCAATTTAAAATCCTAATTGTAGTTCTTAATAAAATAATTAAATTTTGATAAATTTTAACAATTGTTGTCTTAATTCAATAATTATTGGTCATTATCAGACACACAATCTCTACTTCAATATGATATTTAAATGCAACATGATACTCAGATCAGTGAGGCATAAGTGACTAATGAAAATCCTAACACATGCAACAATAAGAAAACAAATTCAATTGGAAGCGATTAGACATAAAATCGACATAGATTTTTTGGAGGTTTCCAGTATTAGTGGAAATTTAATTAAATTTTAATCCATGAACAACTTATGATGTTTTTTTTTTTTTTTTCACATGTTAAATCAACGATGCCACTCAACATGATAAGATCGCTCATAATTGCAAGTTATATCATATCGCCTTCATTATGGAAGCGCATATGTAATATTAATATCAAATTCTATTTAGTTCATTTGTTTATTTGTATATATCTTCTATGTTCTCATAATAGTTGTATCATTTTTGTTGTAAGAACTTATGTTGCATTCTTATTTGTTTTCAGATGTGATTAGTAATTTATTTTTAGAGTGTTATCTATCCTAAGTTGGAGTTGGTGATATCATACCATCCAGTAATGACATGTAACACCGTTCGCTTCTTGCACCTGCATTATGCATATCTTCATATTTAAATTCTTAAGTTAACTGACATAAATCATGAAATGCATAACCAAAAAATTTGTCAAGAATTAACATGTGTCATGCAGAACAATTTTCAGGATTTAACAGCCTAAGAATTTGATAAATCCGAATTTACAAAATTTATTAAATCCTACATTCCTACTTGCAGCGAAACAGCCCCTTAGGAGTTTGGTTTTAAAGAAGAAAAAAACGTGTAGAAATAAAAAAAACAAAACTAATCTCTCATAACAGGACGCTTGCAACCCCTAAAATAAATCCATCAACGGGAGACAAGGAAAGGATCAGATGGTGAAAGTTTACCTCTCGACGTTGAACGGTGCCACCATAGCCGGTGGCCTGACAGAAACGGCGATAGAGCGGAACAGCCGCATAAGAGGCGCCAACCATGGCCCCGGCCAGCGAAAGAAGATAGATTAGCATCTTCTTCGAGCCTTGTTCCCGAGAGGTCGCGGTGTAGCTCGAAGCGAAGCGGCAGTTAGTGCCGCCCAATACCGTAACTGGAGGTGGCCGGAACCTCCCGCCGGCGAGTGAGCGCCAGATGTAGAGAGATTGAGGGAGTTTTGGGAATTGGGGCATCATGCGAAATATAACCTCGAAATCGGAAGGCAGTGTTTGAAGTTAAACAATTACTTGCTAACAAACTTTAGGCGGTAATGATGTAGTTCACGCCTGGCAGTCCGGGATGACGGTCGTAAAGGAGGTTGACGGTAGCGGAAGGGGCAATTCGATGGTCGTGGCTAGCTGCTCTGAGGAGAGAGGGAAGAGGAAAGTTTGCGAGGGAGGAGAGAAAGACTCGAGAGGAGGGACGATCGGTGATTGTAACAGGGGAATGGGGCGTGGGGCGTGAGGCGTGCGGCGTGCGGCGGACCAGTTGTAGCGGGGCGAAGCGTGGTCGCGGCTAGGAGGTTTTGACGTGGCGACAGACGATCCGTAGCACGGGTCCGGATTCGGAAGTAGCTCTACATCCATCCAGAGGTCAATAATATTATCGTCAGGTGTTCTTATTTTTTATGGTGCGGCCCTATGATTTGATCTGGATCGGAACCCGATATTATTATGTTTACGTACTGCTCGGTATTTTTAGGTATTGTTAGGTATTGCTTAACTATAATAAGAAATACCGTTCTGTCAAGACCAATACCTAACAATATAGAGCAATACCTAGCAAAACCAGGGTATTGCTCGGTATTGCTCTTGACAGAATGATATTTCTCATTATTGCCAAGTAATATCGAGCAATACCTAGCAACACCCCGGTCTGCACAAATCAGCCAATACATAGCAATCCTGGGTCCAGTTCAGATCGGGTCGTCGGGCTGCGCGGTAAATAGTAAGAGCACGTGACATCATTTTATTGGCATCCGAACGTAGAGCTACATCGAGACACCAGACCAAATAAAATTTCCCGTAGCACACAAGCAAGGTTCACGTTCAGAAAATTTTCATAGATGAAATAGTTAAGCTATTTATTGGATATTATGAAAAGATAAATAAAATATATTTTATGTTTAAATTTTTTATGTGCATATAAGTTATATAAGTATATAACACAATAGAGTACATCAAAATAAATAACACAAATAAAAATAAATATTTATTCATCCCCATAAATAAAATTTAAACAACAAAATATGAAAATAATACAAAATATGAAAATAATACAAATTGAAGCACCTATTGAAATAAAATCATTCAGTACTCAAAAGAAAATATAATCGCTCACTACAAAAAAAAAAATTCTAAGTATGTCATACACTCTAACAGAGCGTGTTATAAGAAAAGATAATAATGAATGGATTTGAGTTTTTAATAATTTTGAATTTGATGAATTTCTTCTCTCATAAATCGATAAAAATGTATTTTTTCATGATTTATCATATTTACCATTTGACTTTTTGACTTTTTGCATATTGATAGTAACACACTGAATTTCAACTGGTAGAATTAAAGTTATAATTTTCTAAATTTATAGATATTTAAATTTTCTTGTATTGAACAGAATTGACTATTTCATGCTGCATTTTGATTGTGTCATTTGCATAAGTAAGAAATGTTGATTGTTAACATTACAAAATGGGTTGACGGTTAAAACATAGTACCTTATACAAATGAGTGGGTCGCTAGACTTTTCCTTAAAGATAGTTTTTGTTGTTATCCCGATTGTAGCTTGTAACAGATGATCAAATTACGCCGACGTGCAGAGGGTGATAACTCTTAATGATTATTGAAGGTCACCTGTATAATAATTATAACAAATTAAAGATACTTATATTAAAAAAAAGAACATATTAAAGGATGAAAATACCACATTAAAGCAGGATGTTCTGTCTTGTTGAACCATATATTGATGCATACATATACTGATATCATTGATAGAGTAATAACATGTGTACATAAATAACATATGAATGAATATAAGTACATATTACAGATAATTAATAGGATGGATGTAAGAGAATAAGACTGGTAATATTGACAAAATGTGTGCATGTGATTCTTTTTGCTAACACTTGAATGATTATAATATCGTTATTTTACTGATTTATTGGTTCTCATGCATGTTATTGATTCCTAGATTCATTGTAATGATTTTCCTACTTCTATTATTGATAATTTTGAGCTTTATAGAAGATAAGCGGTCATTGATGAGATTGATCTTATTGGCCGAACTGAGCATGCATATTGATTCTTTTAGCTTTGTGTTGAAAGCTTTAGTGAGTTTAGCTTAATGTTAAGCTTTTTTGCTCTATATATGAATTTTAATTATTTCAGTTTATGAAAGGGGTCAGGACCAGATGGAGTGAGATTGGCATAAATTCTTAGATCTTTTCTTTAGATTTTGTTATATATTTTATTTCATTCTTTTGTATGCAGGAGTTTATGATATAGTAGTAACTATATTGATCTGACTCATATCCCTCCGACCTTCGTCCCCCACTGACTAAAGTCTCTCCGATGAGCATCGTCGCCCAAATCTGGTCCCTCCAAGCACCATCATCAGATTATGATCTAATCGACCAAATGAATAAGTCAACACGCTCTTGAGAACAACTTTCATATCACTAGATTCTTTCAACTCTCACCATGTAACATGCTCTATGTGATGTATATTTTATACATTGAGCCAAGGCCTTCTCTAAAAAAAGGGCCTCTTTTGTAAGCAACAATAAACACTAGTAGAATCATTTTAACTGAACCGTGCTCTGTGATTTTCCCCCTTCCAGGATTTTTCACTTTTATAACTCTTGCACTCCTTTATCATTATCTGGATGTGTGGTGAATCTTTCAAAGCTCTTTATCTCCAAGACGCAACAAATATATATGTATTTGATTTGACAATACGAGAAAATATAAGAGAAGAATAAAAATAACTATTGTCAACATACTCCAATCAATAGAAGAGGAACACTTGGATAAAACTCTCACTATTATCTGACTTCTCAATTAGAATAGGAAGAGAAGTCAAGGAAGGAGATGGAATGTGGTGGCTAGGTTTTTTAAAGAAGTTACAATTTGGGGAAAAGGTTGAAGAGCCAGAGGGGAGAGGCTCAATGGTTGTGAGTGGGAGATGGGCATGTGATGCTCTAGCGTGATGCAATCTTATAAGGAGGACAAGGAGAACATTATGTTCCCTTTTGAGGCAGATGGGCATATCGAGTCAACAATCAAATTTGACTTATATATATATATGAAGAATAGTGTCTTGTTTTTTCTATTTGATTTTTGATCTTATTATCATCATAGTATATTTATATGAGATTTTTAAGCTCAAAAGAGATTGCATATATGAAGTTAAATATTTCTTCATTCATTAGCAACTTAGTAGATTATGTCATTTTGATGGAGGAGGACAAGGAGAACATTATGTTCCCTTTTGAGGCAGATGGGCATATCGAGTCAACAATCAAATTTGACTTATATATATATATGAAGAATAGTGTCTTGTTTTTTCTATTTGATTTTTGATCTTATTATCATCATAGTATATTTATATGAGATTTTTAAGCTCAAAAGATATTGCATATATGAAGTTAAATATTTCTTCATTCATTAACAACTTAGGTGAATATGATATTTATTGATGTTTACTTTACATATAGTAGATTATGTCATTTTGATGGAGCCTTAAAGAAAATTTAGACAACATATCAAATAATGTGTTCTGACACTTGTTAAAATATGTGCTTGAACCCTACTCAAATCCAATTCAAATCATGATAAAATATAATTCAATTGCATCAAATATTATTTTGATAAATCATTTCTTGAATTATGATCTAGCCTTGTTCGATTATTGTTAAAAAACCTGCACATATATTTTTGTAGCATGGTTTGAATATGGGGTTGTTATGGTTCAATTTTGGTTTTAACATAGAATACATACATATTCAAAAATTACCCAATCCATGTTTGAATTATATTTAAAAGGCACTGCAATTATATCTTGTCGATTTTTTTTATAAGCAAATCAAATATCAACAATTTTTACATTACATGGAGGATAAATGGAAGAAGGCATATGAGCTGGTTGGACATTAACAACAAAAATAAAGAAAATGGTTGATTATAAGAAAAACTTATTTCCTACAAAAATCTCAGCTTTATTTACAAAATGACAATGGTTGATAATGAATGGCTTAGTTTGAAACTCGAAGTAATATGTCACTTTTATGGAGCACTACCTTGAGCGGAGAACATGATAGGATAAAATCTCAAAAATAATAATAATAAGCGATGCTATGAATAATACAAGGAAAAGACAAATGCAAAGAAAAACATAATTGAGAAAGAGAGTGCTCATTATTTTTTAAAGGTTTCTTAGCTACAAGAAACGAGAGGTTGATTCTCTGTTGTTCGCTTGTGAGTAAGAATAATCAAGAGGGAAAGATAGCTGAGGACTCGATCAATGGTTTTGTAGCTAGAGAAAATAAAATTGGGGAGAGGAAGGTTTTCATTTTATATTCTGATAATGGGGAATAAGAAGATGAGGGTTTGACGACTATAAGAAAAGAAAGTGAAGCAGGACGCTACTGATAAATTAGGGTTTCACATCACTTTTTATGAACTACTGCAGCAATTTAAACACCTATTAATTTATTTATAACGGTTTAGGAACCGCTACAAATATCTGTTATATTTGTATTTGTATGAAAGACTTTAGCAACAGTTTCATGAGTGCTATTGTAGGAAGGCTTTAGCAGAGCTTTTAGTGGGGGTTAAAATCACTGCCAAAGCATAGCACGGATTATATATATATATATCCTATTCCTTTGAGGCATTAACACAAACACATGATGTGCATAACTTGTGTAATAGCCCGTATTTTGACTTTGCCAAGTTTTTTCTATAGTAATTATAACTCCACATCATAATTTGTCTTCTCCATAGTATTTTGATCTAGTATTTTACTTATAAATTTATTTTCGTATTTTTTGGGCGCCATTGAAATTCTTAAGAATTTGATACATATCGGTACAAGTGAGAATTTTAGGACCGTTAAGTATTCGATTTGCAAACCGATTTCATCGATATTTTTTTAAGAAAATGATTTATTTTATGAATATTTTCTATAATTTTTAAAGCTCTAAAATGATTTATTTGAATTTTATATTGAGGAAATTGATTAAATTAAAAATTATATTAATAATTATTATAAAACATTTTAAGTCATTATAAACCTTATTTTATTTTTTTCCCAATTCTATTTTTGGCATAAGAGAGACTTGAAATGAGAAAAATGAGAGAAAAGGTAAGAGATAAAAAAATTAAGATTTGGAGGCTGCGGTGTGATTTTTTTCCATCAAGCCTCTCGGGATAATTGCTCGTCTCACTGTAAGGAACCTTTATCATATTTATGAATTCAAAGATTTTGTTATTTTGGTATTTTTCTGATCAAATTATTATTTTCGTTATTAAAAAATGTGAATAACTTTGTATTGACAAAACTTCCACCGCGTAATTTTTGGTATGTTATAGA